ATCAAACTCAAAGACTCGGTGCTCAGTCTGGTGTAAGTGGTGGTGACAGTTCAACTCTCACTTCAACTCTGTGTAAATTAAAGGCAAATGTTTTCCCAAAGTAGAGTTTTATGGATTTCTGTCACTCCAACAGTCTCTCTCTCCTCCTTATTTGCAGACACGTGAAAGGCCGTGTGCTGGTTGCCCTCGCTGATGGGACCCTCGCCATATTCCACAGATCAGAGGGTATTTGGGGTTTTAGATATTTGTTTTGTCAGAGCTTTCATACACCCAACTTCTAGCAGCTTCCAGGGACTAAGAAAAGCAGCCAAGATGTTTTAGTGTGTTTTGTGTAGACTTGTAAAGACTTTCGTTATTAATTAGTCATAACTTTGCATTCTGCGTGTGTGCGTGTGTGTGTGTGGTCTTGTCAACAGATGGCCAGTGGGATTTGTCCAACTACCACCTAATGGACCTCGGGCGGCCACATCACTCCATCCGCTGCATGGCTGTGGTCCATGATAAGGTTTGGTGCGGCTACAAGAACAAGATCCACGTCATCCAGCCCAAGAGCATGCAGATCGAGGTGAGTCATGAATGCATTTATGCAGAAGGTATTTCCACTGACTGTAATAACGAGCTGACCTAATTATTTTATCTCCACGTAGAAGTCCTTCGACGCTCACCCTCGCAGGGAGAGTCAGGTGCGGCAGCTAGCGTGGATCGGGGACGGCGTCTGGGTGTCGATCCGGCTAGACTCGACCCTGCGTCTCTACCATGCGCATACACACCAACACCTCCAGGATGTGGACATTGAGCCATATGTCAGCAAGATGCTGGGTGAGAGAATATTGGTTTGTTACAGAGAAAATCTCAAGTAAGCTTATTTATATGGCACAGCAGTTCCAAAGTGCTTCACAGTTCATAAAATGCATCATAATACACAGCAGGAAAACAGCCAGTAAAATACAGTTTAAAAAAGGAAACAGATGCTCAATTCATAGAGTTGCATAGTAGATACTCAACAATAGAGCCTGGAGCATGGGACATTTAAGAGGAACTGGTTAGCAGATCTGAGTAATCTCGGTGCAGAGTATTGGTTTATAAGCTCAGAGATATTAGACAGTGCCATGGAGGACTTTAAATGTGATCAGAAGGATCTTGAACTGAATTCAAGGAAGTGGGCCAGAGTGGAGGTAATGTGCCCTCTTTGTTAAGCATTTGTCAAAAGCCTGGCTGCCGCGTTATGAACCAATTTAAGTTGAGCAATCGCAGACTCACTTAGACAAAAATAAGAAACATAAGGAGTTACAGTAATCCAGGCAGGAGGATATAAAAGTGTTTTGCTTTACAGTATTGACATTTGATGTCACCGACAACCTCTTACTTTACTTTTTATGTGGGAAAACCATAAAACTAAATATTAATCATAGCAGAGTGTTTTTACAGACTTGGAGGGTAACATACACACATACAGAAAAGTCACTTCATCAGTAGATTCAAGATATTTGTTCTCTCCATCTTTAAGAAAAGAGTCCTGTAGCCTGTTATATTGTCACTGACATGCAGCCTGTTCAATTCACAGGTACTGGCAAGCTAGGCTTCTCTTTTGTGCGAATCACAGCACTTCTGATTGGTGGAAACCGTCTCTGGGTAGGAACTGGAAACGGTGTGATCATCTCCATCCCACTGACAGAGAGTAAGTCTGAGTTTCATTCATGCAGCTTACAGCAAGAGACGTGCGCACAAAAGTGTGTCATGAGCTCTGTTTCCAATAGTGATTCCTTAATGTGCTAAAACCACAAAATATGTCTTCACACTGAAAGTCTTTTGGGGAGTGGTCGGCAATGATTAGCCAGTGGTCTCAAAGTCCTTGACACTGCTAAGGAGGTTATTTTGCTGCCTGGATGTCAGAATTTGTCAAAAACAACAGATTTTAGTCTCATTTGATGGAGAATTAGACCATGAGTAAAGGAACAAGCGATTTATTTTTGTCCAGCAGCACCACCATGTGGTGTCTTTACATTTTGGCTTAAACGCCCTTAAACCATAAGGTTGTTTTTTTTTAGATGATCTGAGACTTTCTATCAAAAAACAAACAAACTCTAAACATTAGGTGATTTTTCCTTGACTCACAGCCTCACATACTGCTGTGTTATTTGTCTGAGTTCTCCTTTAGCTTACTCCCTCTTCTTCCCATAAACCCCCTGTCTTTCTTTCCACCTTCTGCCTCGTCTTGGTCACAATTGTTACTGTTACTGTCCTCTTTCTCCTCTGCTCTCATCCTACCCTCCTCCTCCTCCTCCTCCTCCTCCTCCTCCTCCTCCGCCTCCGGTAGCGGTGGTCCTTCACCGGGGACAGCTCCTTGGTGTGAGGGGTAAGTGGGAGCGCTCCCTCCCTCCTGCTGTTGTGATCTGTCTTTTTTCGCCCGCCTTTCGCCTGGTCAAACCTTCATGTCACCTGAGACAGTGTCTGCAGACTACACCTGTTTCTTTAAGCTTAGTTGAGATGTGAACACCAATGAATGAAGACACACACAATTAGTCTCCTTTTATCTGTGAACACTTAGCTAAAGGTCACCAAAAGTATTCTGTGTGCAATGATTTTACTTTTTACTGTGTATCAGAACAGTGTTTGGACTCATCGATTGCTTTGCATGATATTTATCATTGTGATTTATTACATCAATGATTCAAATATATGTTTGTGTGTATCAGATCTATTGCATGAAACAGATGTGTTTTAGATGTCTCAATTTTTTTAAATATATTTTCAGTTGTTCTGTGGAAATATGGGGATTTTGTGGGTGTTTTTCCTAGAAAGATATATATATATTTTGCTTGTGCCATACTTCCACATATGATTTGCAAGGAAACACTCCTGGTTGGTTAGTTTCTCACACCTGGGTTCCTCGTCCCTCAGCCAATAAGGTGTCTCCTACATCGTCCAGTGGAGTGATCCATGTGTACGGTGATGACGGCTCTGAGAAGAGCACCGGCAGCTTCATCCCTTACTGCTCCATGGCACAGGCCCAGCTCTGTTTCCATGGACACCGTGATGCTGTCAAGTTCTTCGTCTCAGTACCCGGTAGGCACGAAGCCCGTCTGTCTGCTGATGTAACTGTCTGTCTGTAACGGACTGCATTCCCTCGTCTTTAACCTGCTCTGGATGTCTTTTTCTCTTTGTGTGTCTGTGTGACAGGCAATGTTCTGGCCACCCTTAACGGCAGCGTGCTGGACAGTCCATCGGAGGGGCAGGGCTCAACAGCGCCCCAAGAGACCGAGGCCCAGAGTGTCCATAACGTGTTGGTGCTGAGTGGAGGAGAGGGCTACATCGACTTCCGTATAGGTGAGCAAGTCAATAGATCCTCCTAAATGTAACACACTGGACCTTTAATATATTTATATAAGGAACAAAGCCTGTATGTTGAAATGTTGGTTAGGAAATACAGAAATAAAAAAAGTAAATACACAATAGACTTTAACATATAATCAGCACAGTAAAGTGTAAGATGTGTTCATTAAATTCTCTCTGTGTGTTTTCCTCAGGAGACGGAGAGGACGATGAGACGGAGGAAGGAGAGAGTGCTGGTGCCACACAGATGAAACCTGCTTTGTGCAAAGCCGAGCGGAGCCACATCATCGTCTGGCAGGTGTCTTACATACCTGAGTGACACCCGGACCTGCTTCAACACCCCCACCCACTCATCTCCTTCAAGAAATCTCCTCCTCCTCCCCCCAAAAAAGCTTTCCAGCCACCTAAACCTTGTAATTATCCCCGGTCATGTAAAAGTTCCCCCTTGGCTCTAAAACGACACCCAAAGCCGTGTATTGTCCCTTGTAACTATTATATCCCCTACCCGCCCTGTCACCTTGTAACTTTAATGCCTTGTAAGTACCTCCTCTGATCTAGTAATCTGCCTGCCATCCTGTTTGTCCCACCCAGGGCATTGTAACTATCTTCATGAGCCTTGTAACCCAGCCTCATAACTACCTCCCTCCTCTGTATCGATCTTATACTCACCCTGTAAGTACACTATATCTCCTCCTATATTTACCTCAATTGTCCTGCATCTGCCCCAGTTACTCCTCCTCCTCTTCCTCCACTTAGTTTGTCATCTGTGAAACCTCCACCTCGTCTTAAAGCGAAGCCCAGAAGCCCCCAACATGCATCAGTTGTACCAAAATAAAAATAAAAGAAGAACCGTGGGACGGAAATGTGAATGACAACACTGACTTGCATTTCCACCAGAAATGTGTCTGATGTTTTCTAACAGCCAATCAGAAATCCATAACCATTTACGCCATGGTGTGTTTAAATGGATGGAGGTGTCAGGTGTTCATGGATCAATCTTTGACAGTGATTGTGAGTGAATACAAGATTGTAGTGGATGGTAAACCAGTTTGGGTTTGTTCACTATTTGAGGGAAAGTGAAGGAACGACGACATGGAACGAATTCAAAGTAAAAATGATGTCGAATTCAGCACAAAAGTCTGAGCTTCTTTTGGCTGTTACCTAAAATATTTTGCATACAATCCTGAAGTCACCTGTATTTGAAGAGTCTCGATTAGTGACTTTTGCTCATATTCTGCCCCGATTACAAGAAAAAAACCCTCATGAGGAGGTAATGACCCCCAATGACAGGAAATATGTGCTGTTGTAAATCAAAAAGGTCAGAAGAGTCTTGCTGGAGTCGCGTGAACGATCTTATTAAACACAGTTGAAAGGGGTTTGAGCGTAATGTTTCGAGGGTTCAGTCCGAGACTCATTTCTCTCGTCTGACTGGCTGTTGATCAGACGGTTCGGTGTAAAGCACGTGAGCGGTGATGTGTTGTCATTATGTGTACAGGGATTATTGTAAATCTCCACACACACTGAAGCCCATCCTCTTTGTTCAGTATGGAAATTCATGCATTGATCTCTATCCGTGTGGATTAAATATTAAACATATTTGTGTGCTGACAAAAGTGGACGGTTGACGTGTGGATGTCTTGCTTTACAAAACACACAAAAACGGAACATTTTAAAAAGGATTTCATGACCAGATTTATTGTTTTTGACATTTCCAATACGACTTCATACAAATTCCACTTTGATAGAACAAAAGAAGATGGCGCAAATGTAGCTCCTCTTTCGTTTGTAAACTGAGACATGACTTGATGACACTGCAAAACTAAACGCTCCCTGAAAGCTTTAGTCACACGTCATGTTTTAAAACTTCTACTCTTTACATTCAAGAAACTACAATGAAGTCTGTAACAGAAGCAGACACTGTGGAGTTGCTGATCAAGTTATTGCTCACTTAGTGCACGTTTGCTTTATAAAGTCATTTCACCTCAGATAAAAAAAAATTCATTTCATGAAAAACACAAAAAAAAGAAGCAGCAAGAAAGCGATGACCTTCGTCTCCTGCATGGCTACAAACTACTAAAGCCCAAAAAAAACTAATCTGAAGTGTGATGTGACCCGACTTGTAATGACTAATAGGAGAAACACTGGTTCACCTACAGGACGGCGTACACACAGCACATGTAGACCGTCAGTTGTAGATCCAGTGATTGGCGCTGTTCTCCCAGCACTGGAGCTCGTTCTGATGAAACCACAGAGAGATTTCCTTCTGGGCGCTCTCCACCGAGTCGCTGCCGTGGATCACGTTCCTGCAACGCCGCACAAGCATGTTCAGGACACACAGAAACTGTATCTGGAGCGGAAGAAAGCTGGCCCGTTTATAACAATTAATAACAGTTTAATACATTTACTGCAGCTCATCAATCCGCTTCTTGTTGGTTCATTTAAATAAAAAAAACATTTAAAACACAAAAAAGACAATCAACATTGTGGAAAGTGTGTTGGCCATGGCCGTGGTTTATTACATCACAATCGTGTGATCTAACTACATTCACACTAGACCATCCCTTCAGAATTGTGCCGATTTAGGCATTAATGAATTAATTAAAGGTTCTGTAAAGGTTTTTGAGAATAAAAAACACCACAGCTGGAAAAATAAAGACGTGTTAGCCTCTGATGTAGTAACAGTGACATAGAGGAGATACTGAGGTAAATACTGCGTTGTTGATAATGCTCTTTATACCTTTTAATTTGTTCTTTTATTCAGTGGTGTGCAAGTTTTCAGAAAACTTGTTTCTGATATTTCTGACTAACCACAGACGAAAAGTCTGACCGGATCAATTACACCTGCACAAATCATTCCTATAGGCCTTTTTCACAGCAGACATTTTGGCTTTTCATAGTGAAAGATGCACAGGGTCATTCAGGGTCTTGGTATTGTGCATGCTGCCTCACTGACACACTGTCATGGTGCACTGGGACAGAGCCATCAATAAGATTATTAGACATCAAAATGCCCGACGTGAAAAAGGCCTGTTCTCCCTCACAGAACTGAACCATCAGGTGATCCTACCTGCCCACTTCCACGCAGTAATCTCCTCGGATGGTTCCAGGCAGCGAGTCTGCAGGGTTGGTCTCTCCCATCATCTTACGTGCTGTCTTGACCACGTCCAAACCCTCCCACACCTGAACCAACAGGGAAATGTTTTTGTTTACCAACAGTTCGGGCTCGCTGGGCCTCATCGCATCAGAAGTTAAATGAGTTGGACTGTTATATTAAAGTCAAATATTTTCTTATTGTGGTCGGTTTGTGCTGAAATGCACCTTTACCATTTATTTCCACATATATCACATGTATGTTTGGATACTGATGAGACAAAATCAATCAATGGAACTGTTTAATTATCTCTGAGTCTGAACACAGAGTAGAAAAAAGGCCTGAATTTGACTCCTCTGTTAACCTGCTGTCTAATATGGAACTGGTTCTTGATGCCCATCCCTATGTATTGCTGCAGTAGGACTGTAAAATATGACTTATTTATTATTTACTAGGAAAACCAAAAGCCTACCGAGTTTCTGAAAGCCTTTAGTGTTGTGTACAGTACGTTGGAGGGAGAATCTCACCATCGCTACGATTGGTCCAGAGCTCATGTAGCTGAGCAGTCCCGTGAAGAAAGGCTTACTCCTCAGGTCCCAGTAGTGCTCCCGAAGAAGCTCCTCGGATGCCTGAAATACAATACAGACACATATTCAACTCAATTAAAATGTTTAGATTTATTATATTAGCAATGATCATTTATTTGGACCATGAACTATTTTGTCTCAAGGAGGAACATAAAGCTGACAGACAGAAGTCCAAATACCTGCACAAGTTTGAGGCCCACCAGTTTGAACCCTTTCCTCTCAAACCGATGCAGAATTTCTCCCACCAGTTTCCGCTGAACGCCATCTGGTTTCACAGCGATGAATGTGCGCTCATTCACGCCAGTCCAGCCTGCAACCACAGATAACATGCAGAAAAAAATGAAGTTAAAACCAACAAGAGCAACCAGAGCAGCTTACATGCACAGCCTGTATCATACAGGGTTTATTATGCTTGCAGACAGCCTTTAGACCCTGTGGACACACACACACACACACACACACACACACAACACACACACACATAAACCATGCAGCAGGGCACACAGGGTTTAAGACAAACTACAAAGGGCTCCACCAACGTTGTCTATTAGTTGTTAGTTCAACAAGCCACTGTTGGATTCACAAATATCACTTTCCAGTCTTTGCTAATCGGAATATAATCTGCTATAATGTAGCAGGAATAACCCTTGCACTTTCACAACACTTTCTGCAACAAACCTCTCCATCACAGCAGGCTGAGTCTCACATATTTCTGCCTGTGTTGCCTCTCACCAGATTCCTCAATCCGTGCATGTTTAAACACCAAATCTTCAAGTTTACGTGGATCTCGCTGTGACCTCTTTTTCGGGCCCATTGCAGCTCTCCCGCAGCAGCAGCAGCCTATCAGGGCTCACAGGCTCCACCAGAGTCCCGGAGAGCACCAATGGCGGCGCGCTAACACCCGAGTTATTAATAGGAGGATGAATCAACTTATTTGACAGTGAGGAGGACACATGGACAGCACTGCTGGTAGTTACACGAGGCAGCCGCGGAGTGTGTAACGGCAGATTAGTACAAACGCAGACATGTTGGACGTGAAAGCCGAACACAAAGTTAGTTACAAAAGCTTCGTCAAAAGTTACTGACAGCTTCATGCCACCATTGTTTCACCGGTTAACTCTGCTCCTCCTGTAGCCGAGGAACGTGTCCGGCGGGTCTCCGTCTCCTGCTCCACACAGGGCGGACACTGTGAGTAATAATGTCCGCTGTCACTATCACACTGAAGGACGGTGAACCACACATGAAGTATAAACACCAACCTGACTGGAAGATGTACGCGAATATAGACAGAAACAGGCAGATCATCGTCGGCGCCGGAGTCCGGACGGAGCACTGTGGAGGAGAGAGGGAAGGAGGACGTAAGGGCGCGTACGTACGTACACACGGACGTTGCTTAGGAACGGTCGCCAAAGCGCGGGCGCGTGGTGTCCCGGGGCTCACGAGGAACGCGTCACATGCAAAATGTATGGAAGCCCAAAGGATGAAGCGAAGATAAAAATCAAAATAATGTTAAAGTATGTGATCAGTTCAAGTGTGTACTTACTCATACAATCCACAAATCAATATTTATTGTAGATAACAATTCATGAAGCACAGTGACTGATCACTAGGCCTCTATGTTTCTTTATTATCTCTGATATAGGATCAATAACCATAATTCATTTAAGTGTTTAATCAGAAACCCAAACCTTGAGAATAGACAAATCTTTATTTCTGTATTTAATATAAATCAACAAAAACTGTATTAGCCTACAGTTAATGTAAAGCATAATCATGAAGCCAGAAGAAAAATATATGTAAATTAAGCTCAGACCTGGCCTTCAGTCCCGGTGCTGTGTTCATGTTATGGGACAGATAGTTGGTTGCAAGAGAATGAAAATACTGGGCACTGACAATATAATACATAGTAAACTCCATTAAATCTGTGTTTAATTACATTAAACAATAACCAGTTGACTTGAGTACTATTTAAAGTCAGAAACTCGTCACTACAATAACTCTGATATGACGTAAACATGTAATGAGAGGAAGTCTAATCAGGGAGAATAAGTTAAAAACACCTGTGTCAGTAGACCATGGGTGTATTTAACATCAAATTAAACTTTGTCTTTGCCTGAGTGGTCGAATCTGCTTCCCCTCCCTTTTCTCTGCTGGTACAAAAAGTTAAAGCATCAGACGTACCTACATTAAGTGTTTACTGTGCATTCAAGATGCTATACGGCTGCCTATAGTCTTTAACACACACAGAAAAACCACAAACAGCAGTTATATTTTATTTCAAATTTAATATTTACCCATCATCACACATACATACATACTACATACAAAGAGGTCTGCTTCAGATGAAGAGAACTCAGCAGAGAACTCATTTGAGTCCAGGATTACGGACATTGAGGTGAGGGCTTCTTTCAACACTGCTTTTGTCCAAAATGTCCAAGATTGTTGACCCTTCAGCTTCAAAAGCACGAGTATCACACCGCTGTCCCGCTTGTACTCTTTCTCTCTTGTTCCCGCTTGCGGAAATAGTCTTTGTTGAGCAGAACGTTCCTTGTTAAAGGCAAGGCCGGCTCCTCAGGTGATATGCTGCCTGAGGCTTTCTTGTGCTGGGCCAGCATCATGGCGCGGAGCAGGGGAGGGTACGGGACGTAGCGCACAGGCGGCTCGGGGAGCGTCTCAAAGTGCTTGAACTCCTGTTCTATGTGTTTGGGAACCAGGCGCCAGTCGTGGTACATCACCTTGTCCACTTCCTTCACCTCGCTCTCTTGTTTTCCTGTCAAGCACAAAATGCAACAAAGCCACTACATGTGTAAAAATACTAGAACGAACATTTTAAAACATCCACAGTGTTAGTTTTTAGAGTGTAAGACCCAAAAGGATGCTGAAATCCCCCATATGACAGGACATTAGTCTCTATAATGGTACAGTTAGAGAGACAGATGAATCAGATACATGTTCAGGTCCAATCTTACCTTTGTAGGTGAGGACCCCCCATGCTTTGCCATGATCCATGTTCTAGAAAACACAGGAATCATTTGGTTACAGGTATCCCAACAGACCCAAACTGTTTTTTCAGTCAATTTTATGACAATAAACAGACTTGAGAGTCAGTGTACGGATGGCCCGCTCTTACCTCAGATGTGTAGTCCACTTTGATCTTGGTGAGCTTCCAGTAGCTGGGCTCTGTGTGGTCCTCCAGCCAGGACTTGCGGGTAAAGATGCGGCCCACTCCGAACATCCTCATACCTGACAGCAGGGAGAAGAGAGTACTCTCCCTGCGGACATCCTGCCAGGCGAGCACTGGCAGCATCTTCCCCGTGTGAGGCCGCTTCATCGTCTCGTAGTCCAGGACGTACTTCTGGGACTCCCGCGGCCGGGACTTGAGCTCCCGGTACGCCCGGATCTTCCGAGCCATTTCTGCTATGAAACGCACTGGTCTTTTCTTCACCATGACTGTACCGAGGTCGAGCAGCTACTCCACAACCCTCACGGACACTCACTGCCCGGCGTCTGTCCTGTAAGAGAGTGCTGATGTAACCGGGGCAACCGGGCTGCTAGTTAGCGTTAGCTGTAAACTGATCGGTTGAATTTACTAATGCCGAACTATCGATACTGCTTATATTGTGCAGATATCTGGAAGTATTGGTACACAAATTCCTACCTGAAGTAACTTGACCTCCGCAAGCGAGGCACACAACTTCCGCTCGCTCGGTCCGACTTCGAAGAGTTTCCGGTGAACAGCCCGATTCACTATTTGTTCCGCTTGAAGTAAATGAAGTGAAACACATTAATAAAAATAAATAAAAGTTGTACATTATTAATTTAATTGGATCAATACTGGGTTAATAACTGGTGCAGAGTTATTAGATAAGAATGGATATTTAATAACCTATAAAGATTTTATACATAACTTCTAAATTTCCTTTAAATTGTTAAAATATTTTAAGAAATTAAGGTTGTATTGGCCTAAGTGCTGTTTTAAATAATTAGACAGGATTATTAATTACTGATGTCAGATTAAAAAAAACATTTAAGTAAAAAAATATAAATAAACAAAATAATGAAAACATTTCAAAAAATAAAAAAATAACAAATAAAAACACAAACTAGAATCACTCCCAAACCCTTTAAAATGTTTGAGTTAACGTTCAATTGGTCAATTATATTTTCTGTTGTTTTTCACACTGCCATGAACACAATGAAAATATATTTTTTACTTAAAAGATTTCAAATTGACAGGTATGACTTTGGTATCACTTATTCTTTCAGTAGATTTACTCCAGATGAAGAATGTTATTTGTAATTCAATTGTTTATTTCACTCAAGAAATGTTAATTCATAAGGAAAATTGTTAGTTTTCTACTGAATGGAACTGAAATATGTTCAGAATCAGAAGTAAAAAAGCAATCCAAACTTTTAGTTGATCTTAAGCATTTGAGTTGAAATTTACTTTTTATTGGAACCAGTTTCGTCCGTAATAAATAAACACATCCAGTCCTTTGTGCATATTTAGCATTCATTTTATTTTCAGCTGAAAATCATGCTGATAAGTTATACAGAAAAAGGCGAGTAAAGGCCTTCACATACAGTATTATTATTATTATTATTATTATGACATGTTATAGAAGAGACAGAGTTTTCCTATTTACAGTACAACAGTAAGAAAAAGTGCTTGGATGCATCAATGTGAAGACAAATACTGTGAAATAAGACATAAAAATCATCTGCTGGACTACAACTAACCTCTCGATGGTTACATTACTAAATCTATAGGGATAAATCTTAGATTTATAATTACACAACTGGGCAAAATTAAGTGTGTCCTTTCACACTACTCGTGGCTAATGAGCACAATCCTCTGGTACCTTCACCCCTGTTGTCTGAGCCTCTGTCATGACCTATTCGTTCTGAAAACCACTATCACATAAGATCCTCGTATTGCATAGTACCTTAAGTCTGTCTTTGTGTACGTATACTTAAACCAAGACCTTGAGGAGTGAACATGATCAAAGACTGGTCACTGAGGCAGCAGTAGGCATTCTTGTGTAGTTTCAAAACCTGGGTCAAACACTGTTTTAATATTATATTGTTACGGTTTGATACTCCAAAGTAACTAAAAATAAGGATTATTTACATTTGACCCAGGGGTAATGTTCCCCGTCTTAGTCATTTATGATGAAAGTTGGCTGTAAAATGTTTGCATTTCATTTTCCTGTGCATCAAAACATCCACAGAAATGATGAAAACCACTCCTGCAGCATAATCAGCAACTCGCTACCATCCTTTCATGATCTAAACATGTTCTATAAGATGTAGTTATGACTATATGACAAAATATGGCACAGCTTCAGTCAGAATTCTGATTGTCACCAGACACGTAAACTGTGTTTTTAGCCATATTTCAAAAGTATGATTGTTAGAAACACACTACACATACACAGAGACCTGAGAGGCAGGCTATGCTGCAGGAGCAATGTAAGAACTTTCTATAACCATATTGAATCTTAGATTTTCTGCTTTAACAGGGAAACAAGTGACACCTTTAAGCCAACGGGGGCTGAGTGTTTTATACTAAAAGGATTTAGAATAGAGTTACAGTCCAGAGGAGTTGGTTAAGGAAGTGATGAAAAAAGGCCTTGGGAGAACCAAAGTAACACCCTTGCATAAAGTACAAAAAAGTTTAACATTAAAACTGCCCACAATCTCATATTTTGTCAATCAAACAAACGTTTTTTTTTTTTTAAAAGTTCTAAAAAATGATAAAGGTGTAACAGCGATGAAAAGTCTCTTAAAATGTGCGGCAGTATTTTCTGAATGACATACTTCTCATGATTAGATTTAAAGGACTTACACTAAATAACAATGTATACTGTTTATATATTTTAGAAAAGAGGAAATACATAGTTTAGTTCATAAGGTTTCGATAGGAGCCTTTTAAAAGCTGGTGACAGATGGATGTTGCCATAAACATAACAAATATTTGACTTAACTTTTTAAGTTTCTCAGGAAACAAGAATTGTCTGATGAGGAATCGTAGTTGTTTGGATCTGATGGCTGTTCAATAAACGAGGAAAAGGAATATTTTCATTTTTGGAGGACTACAAGCTACATAGTACATTCAGGTTCATTCCACCTCCTTCTAACATTTCTTAGGTTTGTGATCTGTTTAAACATGTTTTGCTGTAGAGCTGTAACGTGTGGGTAAGAAATAATCACTTGTCTATTCCACTCATTTGACACGGTGGCCTACTGACTCTCACTTTTGCAACCTAACCTGAAATTGCCAGTAAGACGGGTAACAGATTACTTTGATAATGCATGGATAGCATTTAGGTTGAGAACAATATACATTATTTGCATACAAGATGAAAACACATTTTTTAAGCCCCCCCTTTTTTGCAAATATACCACGATGACCACCAAAATTTGGCCATACTTGACTTCAGTGTTACACTGTACAGTCCATTCCTGCACCATTTCACTAATCCCCCCACACGCATGGCAACAAGTTATGCAAGCTAACAAAATAACACCACGTCTTTTTACTTATTACTGAAGCTGGTTGGGACGCTGAATGTATGATGAGCATGAAGACATCCGAATGGCATGAGAGAAGATCACAGTAAAAATGTGGAGGCAGAAATACTGCCGTCACAGTTTTCCACCTACGTACCACTCTGATCCTGGTTATTTTCTTCACTACTGAACAACATCGATGTTGAGGAAAGCTTGAGGCAGGTAGGAAACACTAGATTAGATGCCATCTAGGACAGTGACTTCTACCAGTGTTTAAGAGGAGGTAGGATTTGAGCCGCCCAGTCATGTCCAGCGGCATCTCTTCCTCTGACAGGCTTCGGGGTCAGACGTACAACCTTCCGAGTCACTCTCAGAGGAAGACGGTCCAGCCAGTGGGGCGACAGGCAGGTTTGAGGGGCGCTCAGGCCCATCTGGGGTTTCTTCTGTGGTGCCACTATTCAGACTGAGAACCCAACCCAGTTTGTTGTGGAGCAACTGACGAAGGCCTGGTGGCAGTGGCAACACGTCCAGGGTGTCTATACAGTCTGGCAGCAGCTGGCGAAGGCGAGCACAGCACAGGTACAGCAGGGAGGTGGGTGCAGAGCAGGATCTGATCACCTTCATGCTGCTCTTTGCTGCTGTGGAGCAGGCCATTGGATAAAACCTCTTATTTTGTAGCTCTGTGGCAGCGACACCTATATCAAGAATGGTGAAAAAACATTTTATGTTCATGTGTACCTTAATTTCCGGACTATAAGCCGCTACTTTTGCCACACTCTTTGAACCCTGTGGCTTAAACAATGATGCGGCTAATCTATAGATTTTTACGGGCTAACGTCCTCCAGGGGGCGCTCTAGCAGGAAGCGCAAGAGCAAGACAGACAGGTGGAAGAGATAATCCGCCGCGGAAGATGCTAGTTTGATTGTGTTTTGAATTCATTCAGTTTGAACTCATTTAATTCAATCAGTCATTTTGCGCATCATGCACACACCCTCATCATGGAAAACACAAGAAGAAATGCACATGATGCAGCTTTTAAGTTAAAGGCAATCGATCTGGCTGTCGAAGAAGAGCTGCTGCACGTAAGCTTGGCATCAATGAATCGATGGTGAGACGTTGGAGACAGCAGCATTTATTTAATTAAAAATTTAAAAAATCGTTCTGTGTAAATATCTCATGTTAAAACGTGGACACCTTTTTTTTTCTTTTTAAATTTAGTTGGTGCGGCTTATATTCAGGTGCGCTCAATAGTCCGGAAATTACGGTAATATCTTGTTACAATACCAAACTGTGGGTATAATGTATTAAAGTTAGCACAGACTCCCCACTAAAACAGATGTGTGCTTTATACAGGCGACCATATGGTTGAAAGGTCAGTTCAGAAGTTTTGAAGGGGGGTTGTATGAGGCACTCCATGGTCAGTGTATTACCTACAGTAGAGAGGGGTTGGCACGTCCCCAGCGGAGAAGCAGAGAGGATACCAGTTTGGAAGTTAAGCAATGTGCTGCTGTGGACATTTTAAGTGAATGCTATATTTAGAATATGCTGTCAGACAGTCCTTATCAACAGGAAACTGAAGCATTAATATAGATCTCTGCTCTCTTCAAATCCACCAGACTCCACTGACAAAAGTCTGCAGCAGTTAATTCGGGTGCTAACAAACTACAGTGTTACACCTAAATCAGAAATTACTGTTTTTGTCAAACAGGTTTGGTGGCTTTGGTGCATTGCTCAACTTCTGTCTGCTTCTCCAAAATGGGGGCATGTCGACTGCCGTCTAATGTAGTAACACACCGACTATGGTTAAATACCACTTCAATAAACCTGAACTAACCCTTTAAGGTTCACCAGATCAGTTTCACTCAGATGGGACAGATTGAGATTAAATATAGTTTCTGATATGAGTTACGTTTGTTTTAGTCCCACAGTTCCCATATCAAGATTGTTTATGTTTAAAAGAAAAATTATTGGCCAACATATCATTATTGGTTTATTTATACTCCCAAATACTGACATCGGTATCAGCCTCAAAAATCAAATATCTACTGGGCTTCAGTAGAGTACTATTACTGGATCAATGCTCGGTATTGGAAGAGAAAATGATGGCTCAAACCATCAAAATAGGATTTGAACTACCGGCGCTGTGGTAGTGGACTTTGCCGGCCAGTACTAACCTATACACTTGCGATTCTTAAAGAAAGTGAGTGTGCCATG